AAATAAGGCCCTGAAAATGACGTAAAAAGGGGGAGGGGTTTCCTTTTCCAACATTCTATAAAGATTTGCCCCTGAAAAAGCTGGTATAGACCTAAGAAATGTTTAAACTGGCTACAAAGAAATAATATGCATCCAGAGTACTTGACTTTTAATGTCAAAAAAGGTAGAGAGAAAAGGGATGCACAGTTAATACCAATTTGTAGTCAAGGTGTGAAAAATCAATCACGTCAAAAAAATGACGCTGATCAAGTGTTCTAGATATTGAACTCCCGAGAGGAAAATATGCTGGCACAATCAAGCGAAGGTTTCTCCCAATGTATAAATAAATTTGGAATATTATATTCATTAAAAGCCGCTGTTACCTTGTAAAGTCATATGATAAACAAGGCGGGCTTAAGTCCTTACTCAGCTCCAGGGTATCTCATTAAAATAAGTGCATGAGGTAGAAGAAGCGGACATTGAAAATCAATGACGTTTTCGGACGTAATGAAACGAAACGGCGACAGCGCCGGGTGATCATATAATGTCGTTTTTATTTTATAATAATTTGGCAAATAATGAACGTATCAAGGTAAAAATTTCAACAATTCTTTATTTTTATTTGTTTTATGTTCCATATAAACTTTGAAAGCACAGACTACATAGTACTAATTTTATAGCCTCAGTCCACGAACTTTTTGATAACCCCTCGTAGATATTGCATTGGAACGAAAGTGTTACAGGCAAACGGAAAGACAAACAGACAGACGGACGAATAGACAAACCTAATTTAACATCCTTACAAACAAAGATACATAGCGGGTTCCAGTAAATGTTCTACCAAGCTTCTTTCTTTACTCCTCACTAAGATATTGACAGTAGTGAAGGAAAATCTTCAAGAGTACTGTGCAACAATATATTCGAGAAGTGGTGTGAATCAGGTGTGGATACTTCAAAATTCCAAAGTACTTTTGGACAGTTTTGAAGGCACAAGATTTAACCAAAATCAACAGCTTTAAAACTTACAACTCTTTAAGTTTATACACAACCATTCTCCACGATAAATTAAAGTCCAGGGGCCCGTTTCATCAAAAGTCGTAAAGTTAAGCCTTAACTTAGGCGTACTTCCGGGGCTTACGCCAAAATTTAGTCGGGCGTAATTTGCGTTTCACCAAGTGGCGTAAGTCTGGTCGTAAAAGATACGCCTAGTCACAGGACTAAGTCCTTGACAACGTAGCACTGCGCATGCGCAAAAACATAAACATTGCCCAATGCTTACAAACATGTATAAATTTTAGCACGTAAAAGTACAGAATAACACAAATTATAGATTAATTAATACTTGCACTAATTGAAACATGCATGGGGTTATAGTGTCATCTAGGAGACACGTATGTAAGAATCCAATTTTATTTTTTATTTTTTTTTTTTTACAACATTTCAATAATAAAAGTCTTATAAATTGAAAGGAAGAAAAGGACCGTACATTATTTTGGAATTAAGCAAAACTATTTATTTTGGAATTTTAATTACAGCCAATCTCCCTCTCTTCCCGAAATTGATTCAGGTTCATGACTTCGCCTTTGATAATCAATTTTAGATAAATGCTGATTCTACTGATAAATACTAAAAATTAAGTTTGAGACAGAATAAGATTTTAAAATTTTCATGAGAAGTGTATATGCAAGCAAAAAATAATTAATACAAAATGCAAACGGTTTACATAATTTTATGTACATTGTACACATTTTGAGTCAAGAAATAAATTTTACACGTTTACTACTAAGGTACATGTAAGTTAATCCTCTCTAAATTTATTAAATTTTTGTCAATTTAGATCATAATAACATAAATTGTTATTGTTTATTAAAATGACTCAAAGGTTCATCATATAATTACAAAATACTAGACTCTAGGTCGTGCAGTTATAGAAAAAAGTCTTTACTGTCTGCAGATTAAATGTAATGCACAGTTTTAAAAGTACGCAGAGAGAGAGAGAGAGAGAGAGAAGGATGACTACAAAGATATTAAAAAAAATTCTCTGCTTGTGTGGTCTCTGTCTTTAAAATAAAGTTACAGCTGCTCTTTATTTTGTTTTCATTAAAAATGTAAGTTATGCAGGAAATCAAAAACATGTAAACTATATATTTTCATCTTATATGTGCTTTATATGCGCTCAGATTATCTTACACTACAATGTATGTAAAATTTAATCCTAAACAAAATCATGAAAATTAAAGATGTATTCTGCCTCAATGTTTGTCTTAGAAAAAAAAATTAGGAATAATTCATTCTTGAACTTAACTGTGTAATTATCACCGTCTTACATCGATATTATAAAAGCAATAATATATTTCCCCATTTTAAAATCTCTTATTGTTTATGCCCCCTCCCTCCCTGGGTTCCGTCTTAGATTCGCCGGGAACTTCACTTGTCCCAGATTCCTAGAAAATTATTACTTTCGTCCTCAACTGAGTACTCTGTACATTCAATGTTAAATGCAAATTCGGGAGGTTCTGAAACTTCTCTCCGACCCCCTCTAGATCCACGCATGTGGACGAGAAGTAAATAAGAAATGGACGAGTCTCTTCAAACATACAAAAAATATTTGGTTTTAAGATGGGTTAATCTTTTTTTTTTGAAACTTTTTCTTAAATGTAGAAAATTATCAGAAAGAGGATCAGTATGCTTTTGAAACCGATTTTTTTTTTTTTTTTTTTTTTTTTTTGTTTTTTTTTTTGTTGCGGATAGAAATGGGTACCTCCAAAGTGTAACAGATGGACGGACGGACATCCCGATTTCTATATAGTATTTACATGTACCCTCCCGCTTTTCAAGCGGGGTGTAGAAATATAGTTATATACACATGTATGTACATGTATACTGAATTACAATACCTTGTACATACAATACCATCAAATGTGTATGAATGCATTGTCAAAACGTAACAAATGGTGATCGAAAAAATCTCTAATAAGACAAGCTTTTCTTCTCATCAGAAATTTATTAAAATATTAAGATACGTTATTACTCAAATCACTATGTCCCCAAGTAGTTGTAAGACCCCCCCCCCCCCCACTTTTCATAATATGTGTAATTAAATAATGCATTGTTTGCATTTTAAATTCTTCTTAGAACCGCACTTTTTCTTTAGAACTCGCTAAATTGTTTAAAATTAATAAAAAGGCTTTAATTTAACTTTACGCCCTAACTTACGCCTACCCATGAGTAGACGTAAAATTTTGGCCTAAATTTAGTCAGGCGTAACGATACGCTCTTTAATGAAATGCAAATCTTCGTGCTAGTCCCGACTTTACTAGGCGTACGACTTTTGATGAAACGGGCCCCAGGCTTTTTTGTCTTTTTGACAGCTGCTTTTTCAATAAAAATGGAACTCGTAAATTAACTTACCTTGTCCATCGTCATTTGCAAAATTATTTTGTAAGAAAAAAAAATACACATTCTGATTGCACACACAATACTGGGATGTTGACATCAAAAAGCTGCTTTAGTTTCTGATAGACAATATCTATGTGGTTTTTGGAGACAAGATCTTTCAACAATCTATTTGAATTTCCGTGGGTACCAATTGCGCTCCCTTATTAGCAGACCTATTGTTGTATTCATATGAAACGGAGTTTATGCAAAATCTTATTCCTGAAAAGAAGAAAACACTGCGGCCTTCAACTCAACATTTAGATATATCGACGACGTATTAACAATTAACAATGGTCATTTCCATTCTTACGTCGATACGATATATCCTGGTATCCTTTATATCTCTCAGTTGATTCGACACGCAAGTGCATGCTCTACTATGAACAATTTCTAAAACGAGGTAAATTATTGACAAGCAAGTTGATGCGACAAGAATATCAGCAATCGCGTTTACAGTCATCATTTCGTAAGTTCTATGGTCGATACAATGACCTTGTCAGCAAATACAATTTATCATTTTCCGTTCATGATAATAACAAGGAGCATACGGCGGGTGTGACCGGTTGGCAGGGGATGCTCACTCCTCCATAGCACCTGATCCTACCTCAAATGTTTTTAGGTCCGTGTTTGCTCTACTCCTGTTTTTGTATTGTTTTATGGACTTTGATATTGAATTCTGTTCGTTGTCTCCATATCCTTCATCCCCCACTTTCAGAGATAGAAAATTAGTTCTTCTAACCAGGATTTTCCCCTGACAGCCGTATTTTAGTTTAACCAAATATGGTTGTCGGAAATTCAAATATTTGAAACTGATATTATATGGCAACAAAGGGTATTGGAGATTATTGAAAGTACACAGTAGTTGAAATACAAGAATAGGAGTAAAATTAAGGAGAAGAAACTATGCAATGCTAAAGGAAGGAGGTGTATTTTCTAGAAGTGATCAATAGTCATATATATTTAAAAAAAAAATAATCACTTTGTTTCTATATGCTTTCTTGTTGTTGCAGGTACTCTACCCAAAATTTTCATTCAAACTTCCGTCGACATCTTTGAAGTACTAAGAGCTCGATTAGAATATGTGTACAACTTTATTCTAATGGCTTTGATCTCTAAAATGTATATTTTCAGATAAAAAATTCCGTGAGGGAAAAAAATATATTGTTTCAATAGAAATTAGTTCATCGTACTTTGGTTGGGCTGTACAAGATCAAGAAGATACTCGAATTGTCCATGTTAATGGGGAGGATCAATGTGAGGAAGCTGAGGAGGATGAGAGAGACGAGAGAGTTCAGACATATGAAAACAAGAGAAACCCCACAAGAAAACAGCCAACATCTATTCTTATTTTGAAAAAAGAAAAAGAAAAAACAATCTTTGGTTACGATGCAATCAGGGAATTCACCGAAAAAGGAGAAAGTATGAAAGCTAAAGACTACACTTTTATCCATAAAATGGAACAGATTGGTGAGGTAAGAGGGAGTGCAATTTATCGATTTGTAAGTTGAATGTTTTGTAACTTTTTTCATAAAATGCATATGTTCATAAAATCTTAATAAACTTACCATATTTTTATAAAATTTTTGCAAGCAAATCCTAAATTCAGTGATAGTGAAAAATATTCCAAAATAATAAATTTTGTGGCAAAGCAAGTCCATGAGGAAGCCAATCACCAGAAAGCAGCTAATGCAAAAAAACCAGATGAAATTGAATATTTCATTACCATTCCAAGTTATTGGAAAGGTGCTGATTTAGAAGAAAAACTTGAAACATCCTTGAATAGTTCAGAGGTTATTTGCTTTCACATCATAAAATACTGAAACTGAAAACAAATTTTAAATGGTTTAAACAACATACTTTAATAAATGGGGGGATAGATAAATAGATTTCTTTTTCGTCTACATTTAATTTATTTCTGTTTACTCATTTTCCCCTTTCTGTAAGATAAAAAAAAACTTTAATATATTACATCAACTAGTAGAAGAAAAAATTTTAAGTATATAATAGTTAATAAAAAGATATTTTAAAATTTACATAGATAAAAAATTGGACGATAGTTACCAAAGCCGAGGTGGTTTCTCCATTCTTACATGAAGTGAAGGCGGATGTTTTATGTCTGAACTTCAATGTTGACCATTTATCATTTCAAGAGAAAACAAAGTATGCTGTTCTGGATATAGGATCCAGTAAGTATATAAAAAATAATCTTTCTATAATTAGCGACATATATATTTTTTAATTAATCATTCAGGAATTTCACTTTTAATTACTTTCTTAAGAATATGTATATTATTTCCCTAAAAATAAATATGAATTCGGTTTATAAGTAGATTTTTAATCAATAGTTGCTCTTTTCTTTGCTAATATTTTGATAAAGTTCACCTGAAAATTGTTATTATATACAATATGCAAGATAAAATACATGTACTGCATAACAATTGTTTATTCCTTTCTGTAAATGGTTTCTAAGCAGATTTCATGAATTTACGATTATGTGTACGTGCCTCTGTTTTGAATTCGATGCATTTGGAAATTTCTTTAAGAATGAAAATAACATTTATAAGAATTATAATTACAGCTGCATGTGAATTGACTGTTCTTGTTTCACGAAAAGAAGAGCCAGACCGTGTGGTTGGAAATCAATATCGAAAGGAATGGAAAGAAGAAGGGGTCGACCAGGAATTCCGTGATATGATGAACATAATTATTGGGCACCATGAAATGGGAAATTTTCAGAAACAACACAATGCAGAATTTCAAGATTTATTTCTCTCATTTGAACGTGCAAAGACACACAAGTCCACATTCAGTAATAAAGATGTGGAATTACATATACCCTCGGGATTGAAGACATTGATAAAAAAGGAGTTTCCTCTGAAAGATTCAATAGAAAGATACCTTAAAGGTAAAGGAACTTCTACTGATTCCATCACTTGTGTGAATAAGGATGACGAATTTTATCTACGTCTGAAAGTTAAAGTAATGGAATTATTGTTTAAACCAATGTTGGATATCACTGAAAAAACAATCGATACTAAATTCAAAGATGACATGGGCAGTGAAATTAAATGCGTGTGTGTAATTGGTGGATATGCGAATTCTCCTTTAGTGCAGAAAACGGTGCGAAAAAAGTTTAAATTGCGAACTGTTGTAATACCAAAAAATGCCGACCTAGTTGTGGCCAAAGGTGCGGTGTACTATGGATATAAGTATCATGGCAAAGAAATGTAATTATTTCTATAATTCATTAAGGCAGCCTTTATACTAGTAGTCATCACTTCATAGTGTACATATATTCAAATGTAAATACATGGTAGTATGAAAATACATTAAAAACTATACTGAAAGAAAAAAGAAACGCAGGGTAGCATAATGTTCGAAAAAAAAATTGACCACATGACCGAAAATTACGAAAATTGGTCAGAAGAGAAATTTAGTTCCTGTGCACCAAAATCAGTATTCAGAATTACTCAACCTTAAGATTTATGACGTCACGTAGGGAAAACGCTAAAAAGCCCAAAACACGTGCAAGAAGAAGGTATGGTTTTAGCTTTATTGCGCCCTAAAAATGTAATGACATCAAAAAGTTTTGAAACTGGCTTAAATATTACTTAAATAAATGATTCTGATAAATCAGGAAAGAATATGGTATGAAGGTTTACCATTCTGCAAATATGACGTCATTAATGTGAAGCATTTCTCTATTTTCAACAGAAAAAGCCTCAAAATGGCACATTTCAAGGGTGATTTTCCTTTAGAAAACAGTGTCCACAGCCGTCGCCCACGTTAATTTTTTGATATTTTATGCAAAATTCAATAACAAATCACATATCTCAAGATGTTTGTGGGCGATGCCTGTGGACAATGTTATCTGAAAGAAAATTCCATTGAAAATTGGTGTCTTCTGCAACTTTTTAAGAAAATACGGGAAAATGCTTATGTTTATGACGTCATAATTAGCATTTAAAAACACATGTGAGAAAAATGACTTGTATGATTTTTCTGCATTGAATTTCAATTATTTAAAAAGCATGAGTTTTCAACTTATACACCAGTTTCATTCTTTAGAAAATCACATGGCAAAATTTGTATGGAAACCATACCTTCTTCTTCGATAACGACGAGTTTGTCAACAAATCTTGTTGCATTATTTGATGCATATGAGGTATGCATATCGTTTTTCAATATCAAGTGACATTATTAATTTCTTGCAATCTTTATGGCACGCCAAATCCACAAAAATGAGCAAAACATAGTTTCACAGTCGATAAACTAGGTTTATCGGTTGTAAACTATAGTTTACGGACTGTAAACTATAGTTAACAACGTTAATCTATATTTTACATCTGTAAACCATAGTTAACGCGGAAATCTACGTTTCACAACCGTAAACTATACTTAACATCGAAAACAATCATTTGCGATTGCAAAACATAGATTATCTGATAAATACAGTTTCACGATTTGTAAACTATGGTTTACAAACCGTTAACTATAGTTAACGATATGATAAATATAGTTTCACGATTTGTGAAACTATGATTAACAACTCTTAACTATAGTTTACGATTGTAAACTATAGTTTACAAACGTGAATCTATGTTTATCAACAAAATCTATTGTTAACGCTTTATTCAGACAGATAAATTTAGATTAGCATTCGTAAACTATAGTTAACGACCGTTAAATATAGTTTTACAGATGAAAACTATACTTAACGAATCGTTAACTATACTTAACGAATCGTTAACTATAGTTTACGGTTTGTAAACTATAGTTTACAGTCGATAAACCTAGTTTATCAATTGTGAAACTAGGTTTATCTAATTTTTGTGAATTTGGCGTGCCATAAATCTTGGTACAGTTTACGGAAGTTCAATGGGGTCTTGTTTTCGAATTGCCCAATTAATGAAAAAGGCAACAACGGTTTACTATGCAGTTTCTTTTAAATTTTCCCCCATAAAACTTGTTACCCCTTGTCAGAGAGGGTCTGGAATGGCTTTCAATCAACCGTGACGATGACGTTAACGCGAAACTGAGCCATGTTTATTGTTACGAGCGGGTTTTTCGTCATGCCATCTCTTAAATCGCCACCTTTCTACCACAAAAACAGCCAATTATACAGTAGACGATTATAATCATTACATTCATACGAAGTTTGAAAGAAAAAAATTCCGCAATTTGGTTTTTTGAGCCAGTGAACTTACTGTTGTATTCCTCTCACTGGCGCATGCGCACGTCGTTTGACTTATTTGTTTGCGTGATTACTCATGCCATATATAGCCAGGGTTTGAAAGATAAACACTCTGATGAAATTCCATGCAAAGGAGAAATAAAGCTCTGACAGATGCACTCGAGAGACAATGAAGATAATGAGAGTTTTTGATTTTCACTTTTGGGGGGTATCGTCATTTGAGCTTCAATAACTCATGAATTATTAGACAAAATCAATTGGACTTTGGTTATATCTTTTTGAAAGATGATTTTAAAAGTTAGATAGGAAAACTAAAACATATTTTAAGACAAACAAATTTAATTCACCTCAAAGGTTTACCCTGCGTTTCTTTTTCCTTTCAGTATATATTTTTTGTACTTTGTATAGAGAATGGCGCAGTATATAGAAACACATTTATTAATTTTAAGAAAAGCTTTAACTTAACCATAATAATAAATGAGACATAATTCCTTATTTATTTTTTGAGGTTGTTGGCGATGATTGAATGCATGTTAAAAATGTAATTTGAAATAGTAAGCGAATTGTATAGAGATGTAATTAATTTAGTCTCTATCTTGCTAAACAAAGCCGAAATCTTTAAGATATAAAAATGAGATATTAAAACATCAACTGAAAAATATTGTATGTTTGCTTACATTAGCTAATTCAACTTCTCTGAATGAAATCTCTCTGTTTTCTTTTGTCCAATAAGTCGTTAGTTTAGCATCCTCACATTATGCTCTAAAATCACTGCGTCAATTTTGACGAAACTCGGAATTAAGTATCCCTAGGTAAAGAACATTTTAGGTAATGATTTTTTGTAAAATGTTATGTTGTACTTAAATGGTGCATTTCATCTTCATTAACTGCGATGCCCTTTCATTCCTACATTATTTGAGTTATTTCCACTACGCACTTCTTGGGAGAAATGGTTATCAATAACGTTAAAAATAGTATGAATGAGAATGAAGAATATACATTAATTTAATTGGCTACGTCCCTTGCATTAAAACAGATTTTTACGAGTTTGTTCTTTTTTGACTGGTCATGCTTATGAGGACAACAGTAAGTTCTATTCAGTAATGCACACATATCACTGAATATTATTTTATAAACAAACAATTCTCAAATTTCTTTAAAATTTCAACATAGGTAATCAGTGATTACAGAGCTCACCTCAACGAATGTTGTCTTTAAGTAAGGCAAAGTCACACAATTAACCAACAAAAATTGTACATTCCAAAAATGAAACTCGCGTAAATATACGAGGGGTGATCAAAAAGTTCGTGAACTATTTCTTTATCTACAAAACCACAATTTAGATTAGAATAAAATTTGGTACACACATAGCCATACACAAGTTCTATAAATAATATTTACATTTGCAAATGTTTTCCTTTATATAATACTATTGAAAGCAAGCGTTTTTATAACTGTATAAATACAGGTACGGGGTCAAGAGGTCATAGATGTTCGTATGGATAAACGTTCGACGTAATTTCTCAGTGACGTCATAAAGGGTCGACGCGCGTTCAGTGGATTACATACATGCCGTTGGGTTTGAAAAATAATGCATTTCACACGTTAAAAGTCACAATCAGGCAAATCTAAAGTATGAATAAGTCACAAATGTAAATATAAGTAATAAAGTATCATTTTCTGAGTGTTATTGGGATGTAAAACGGGTTGGCACATGATCAAATCTTCCATAAAGCCCTTCGGGCTTTATGGGATTTGATCACGTGACCAACCCGTTTTACATCCCAATAACACTCAAAAAATGATACCTTATTTCTTAAATATATGCCGAATAAAGTTTTGTTCCTTGTTTGTGACGTCACAATATGAAAATGACGTCAATATGTAGGTCACTTGTGAAGAAAAATGGTTGTCAAAGTTTCACTCGTTCAACAAACGACTGTACAATTTATTATATATCTTTGAAAGCCCTTTGCCGTAGCATATAAAAATTTGTACACAATTTTTTAGACCAATTACTTCCTATAAATTCAATCAATGATTGGATTGATCGTTTTAGTGAGGGAAGGCAGATGGTTAAAAATGATACCTGTCATGTTGCCCAGTGAAAGCAAGTTTGAAAAGATATGTGTTTTTAATTAAGGAATTTGCTATCAAAGACCTCCAAATTACAGTTTGAAAAATAGTTGAATATTTGAACAAAAATATAATTATTAAAAACCCAAGATATCGTTTACTTTAGATTTTAAACATATTAGATATGATAAAAAGGAGGCACCAATTCGCTATCCACCTTGAATAAACCTCTCTCCCAAAACAGAAGATTTGTGTTTTTAATGGTTGCCATGCTTATTTTTGGAAAGGATATTCTTATCCACCCATTCTGTTGCCGAGATTTGACGATTTCTGACGAATGAACTGTTCTTGTTATAAAAATTAACTGACATGGACAGAAATATAAAATTCGGAAAAATCTTTCAACTTTTGTGACAGAACGCTACGGAGGGGGTCACGTGACCACAAATATCACGTGATTCGCACATGAGCAGAACAGTGGCTGATGTTCATTAATGTTGGAGAGGACTAATGTAAAATATAATCAACACAGAAACCAAATATTGTTTCCTTTATGGAAGTTATTCAATTAGTTCGTGAACTTTTTGATCACCCGTCGTATCATGAAATCGGTTCAAAAATGGTCATCATTTGAATTGAGTAATGCTCAATCCGACAACAACCCTTGACCCACAGGCCACACATTCTACAATTTGGGAAATAGCAACCTTGCTGATTGCTCATTACAAATGTTTGATTAATACCGAGGAGCATTTCAAAGCATTTTAAAATCATTCTCAGTATATAATCATTAGACCCCCTATCCCTTTTAATAGCCTTGTAATTCACATTTCTGAAAAATGCACCCTTGCTCATCATAACTATGTACTTAGATTATCGGCATAATACCCAGGAAGAATTCAGTCAAAGAATTAATGCATTTTCACAATATAATCATTATAGCCTTGCAATTGTATGAGTACCTCTGGCTCAGGTGCCATAAAATTCACAATTTTTGTGAAGGCACCCTTCCTCATCATGACTATGTACACATGTTCTAGTAGTTCATTGGTTTGACACCAAGATTTTAAAAAAAAAATTAATGCATTTTCACCAAATAAACATTTTAACCCAGCCCTCACCAGAACCCCTGATGGAGAGGCCATGAATTTCACAATTTTGGAAACGGCCTTTTACTTTATATCATATCTATGTACTTCATTAATCGGCAAAATACATGTACGCAAGAACAGAGAAGATTAGGGAAGAATTAATGCCTTTTCACAATATAATCATTATAGTCTTGCTAAATGTACCAGTACCTCTGATCCTGGGGCCATTAAAATTCACAATTTTTGTAGAGAGCTCCATGCCCATTACAGTCGTACCAACAGTTAGACTGCTCGATGTCCTGGAGTAAAGAATACTTTTTTTGAGATTTCATTAATGTTGATGATTATAATCCCACCCCTCAAGCCCCAGGGGGTAAGGTCCATGAATTTCACAAATTTACTCGGAATACACCCCTTCATCCATAGATGCTACATGTCCAAATTCAGTGTCTCAAGAGAAGAAGCTAAAAATATTCAAATGTTGTCGACCAATTGACGACAAACAACGAACAATATGATGATTGACAAAATCAGAGAGCAGTAAATCGGTCACCTAATTGACTCAGGTGACCTAATTACATCCTATCAAAAGGAATGACTTTGGACAAGTAATGAAATGAACAAATACTGATATTTTTTAATGAAAAAATCTAAAACATAATATGATGTGCTTTAAACAAAAGATATTCTAGTGATGTTTACAAATTATCCCTACAATTCCACATAGTTACTAGTATCAAAAATATAGTTTTCCCTACCTTTTTCTATTTGAAAAAGCTTACCCCCTATAGCCTTTGAAATCTACAGTATTAGACTTTGTAAGCAAACATCAATACATCAAAATCACGCTTTTACATACTTTTGTGATTTCTTAAAAAAAAAAAAAATAGAGAAGTGATTTAACTACATTCTCTTTTTTGCATAACAGTATCTTGGGAGATATGACTCTCCACTTCAGAAGAAAGGATTCAATTGTACAAAAAAAAAGGATTTGTTGCAAACAGAATGATCCTTTGACAAAAATTGCTGCTCGCTACCTAGGATTGGTTAGAAATGTTATCTATTCATAACTTGCTGTTTCCTTTTTTTGGTTAACATTTACTTTCTAGTCGTTGCAGCCTTCTGGATTCTATTTTAGATTTTGTTAGACTTGAAATTTTTATGTATTTATATTCCTTTTTTAACATTGAAGTTGGACATTTAGAGGCTAGCTCAATAGCTAGGAATAACAGAGTTCTCAATTTAAATCGTTCTGCAGCAATGATGTAATCTAACAGTGTGCCCGTGCTAATGGTCCCATTCAGACCTTCCACAGTTTCTACGTTAATTTGTCTGCAAGTGGACACAAGGCTGTCTTCGTATTTTTCCAGTTTGGCCTCATTTTGAGTTGCCCAGGCTAGTTCCAGTGATTTTAAAATATTTCCATCACCTGAAAAAGGCAAAAGAATTCCTAGTGAGGATCTTAATGTTAATGTCAGGTTATTTTAATCAAGAAATGTATTTGTATCCAGTTACACATAACATGCTTCATTCGAAACATTAAAACTTGTATATGTATGAATTATTTACCTTTTTCTAAAGTAGATGCCAATTCTTTTTCCAGGAAACTGCATCGTACTTCCAGAATTTTTCGTTGTGTATCAGCTGTAACTTTTGTTTCAAAATTGGCCTGTTTCAAGGTTTCTGTCCCATACTTTGAACAAAGTTTTATAATCAAAGGAAGACCCCCAGTCTTCATATTATGTTTCTCTGCATACGAAGCATACTCCACAACCGTTTCTGTTTTAATGCGATAGTCTACCTCCACACATGCACGTTTGCAGTTTTCCAGAATAAATGATTCACATTTCTCTTTGACGTCAATGATTTGGTATTCATCTGCCAGACACGCTATCCTCAGTACATTTTGTTCTGTTAATAAATCAAAAGGAAGTAGAGGCTGAATAAACATTGTCTATTCTTTTTGAGGCGAAGTTAATTAGTTGCCCTACATCATCAGAAATATTACATAAGACCTAAAATAAAAATTTGTTTGTTTGCAGTTGCCTACTGACTAACTGAAAATGTACCTGACCCAAACTTTTTTTTAACCCTTTAGTAAATTAATTTTTTTTTTTTTTTTTTTTTGAATTTTTTTCAGGATATTGAAACTGTTTCATTTTTCTAATTTTGACTCCTTTTTTTCAGTGGTTTATAACAATAGTGGAGCTTATTCGTGTTTAGTAGACCTATGAAAAGCTTTATTATTTATTATCTAACAAACAATCTGAAATATTCTTTTCTCTTTTTTCAAAAAAAAAAAAAAAGAATGCCTACCTACCGACCCAGTCTGTAAATTATAGGTCGGCAATTGCAAATAAAGAATTTTTAAAGCTTGGCCTAAGTATTGCATGTAGTTGAGTGTAACATTATATAAATGGTGCCTGTTTTGGAGGGTAACAGTTGAAATTGGCACCCCAAGGAAAACCATTGTCAACTGACGGGTCAGCGGAGGTTGACAATGGTTTTTGAGGGGTGTCAATTTCAACTGTTACCCTCCAAAACAGGCACCATTTATTTTATTATACTGAATGTCTTCTTGATTTAGGATGTCAGCAAAAAAAATCGTCGATCGTCTTTACGTTCACGTTTAGAAAGCATTCAAACTCCCCGCTACATTGAAAAAGATTTATTGACCTCTTTATTGTTAATTTGATAATGTAAGAGTTCTTTTTCATCTAAAGGTTCGTTATTTCTTGCACTTGCAAGCATGTTTCGTCTGTCGTTTGTTGTTTTCAAGTAAGCTACATCGGACGCAAGCTTTTATTGACGTCAAGTTTATTCCGGTTCTTTCAAACGCGCAACTGACGTTTTGAGAATTCTACGGTGAACCGTACGCGCATAATTTCCACGCATGTGACATTACTGTTGTGTTACCCATTGCCAGGTGTGTTGCTATGGCTGAGGGTAATAGAACGGATTGTCAACTGCATCTAAACCAATCAGATTGTAGTATTTAACATGAAAGTATAATAATGAAATTTCTCATATGATGTTTTGCTTAGGCCAGCTGAAATTAACTTCTACCTAAGTTAAAGTTTAATTCAAAACTAATCAGGGTTTCAGATTGGCGTTGGCCATCGGCCACTTGCCGATAAAAATTCAAAATGGCAGGAAAAAATCAAATTGACCTGCCAAAATGGCCTATAAGTTTAACATTGAACAGACATAATGGCCGATTAACTTCTCTATGTAAAGGCCAGTTCCCCATTCAGATCAGATTGGGTTTTTTTCACTACTTTCTGCAACTGCATATTCAATCAGCCAATGACATTTGGGTATTAGATCTTGACAAAAAATACTCTTGTTTTATTTTCAAATCCAAGTGTAATGAGCATAAAAGTAGTGATGAATGTTTAAAACATCGAAGGGATCCATGTCATGTTGATATTTTTACCGCCATGGTTGAACATAGGGTCGGACTAATAGCCTAATAGCAGGAAACGACAATAATGCAAAATTTACTATACAAAGGAAAACATTTTTTTGTCCAGGCAATCTGTAAATGTAATTACATGTATACATGTAATGAGAAATACAAGTCTAATTTCTGGATAACTATTTTTAAAACTTGTAATAAAATAAAAAGAAATAAATGAAATGAAAGGTAGGACTAATATCAGTAAAACACCCATTGAATGGAATTTAAAAAAATCCCATTCTGTTTCAATAAATTAAATAATTGATTTGTTTAAAAAAGAACCAAAATATAATTTTCCACTTTATTAAAAAAGGATTAATAAACATTTTTGAATATTTTTTGTAAATAAATGGGTTTTTTTTTTTTGTAAAAGTTTGAGAGAAATCTGAGTAAGTTGAACTTTTCTATTGGCCTATAGTTTTATGAAGTTTAGGACAGAATGGCTTATAACTTTTCTGGTAAATATGCCATATGTCCTATAGTTACTTATTTCAATCTGAAACCCTGCTAATGACTATGAATGAAGGAGAAAAAAAAATAAGTAAACAAAAAAGTCAAACAAATCACCAATTCTTCATTTCCATGAATCAAAACACTTGTAAACCATTTAATTACATACAGATTTGTCAAAATAGCACATTTTAACAGCAAAAAAAAAATAAAATCTCAAAAAATGCAGCTCATATTACTTAAATATTTTTATGATATTTATTAATCTATTTAATGATAATTTTCAGTAAAACTGTCAATTTCAATGGCAGACTCATTCCAAATAAATCTCAAAAGGGTCCAAATGTCATCTATTCCTATGTAATGCACTCTTCATTTGCTAATTTAAAATTAAAGCCAGTAAAGGAACTTTACCAGAGTGGGAAGATAAAAAATTACTGATTCGTTTGTTTTACCAAATGGCAATTTCTCTGGAAGTCAAGTCCCCAAAAGACTAAAAGACTATTTCACTTATTATATCCCCCACCCCTTCCCGCATGAAAAGCAGGCGAGTATACAGTAGTCAGGATGTCTGTCTGTCCATCTGTACGTCTGTCTGTTACGCTTTGGAGTACCTATCTCTTATCCCAACTCTAAATATGCAGTTCTCCAACTCCTATTTTAATTTTTGATCTAACAGTTATTTCAGGTCTCCCAGGGCAAATGTCAAAACATGGACTGTGCCATTATAACCCTTAGGAGGTGGGTTATCATTTATTCATTTGGTGAGCTCATTGCTCACAGCACCTCTAGTTTTACCCTTTCATCAATGTACAAAAATTTAGAAATATGAGCAGACAGACAGAAATACAAACAGAGAAGTAATCCAGCAGTGTAGCTCTAAGTGACAGGTAATGCTGTCAATAGGGTCAAGTCATGGCTATCAAACAAACTTTAATAAAACTTACCAGTAATAGGAGCTAGGAAGCCAGGGTAATAAAACGTGTGTAAAAAAGTCACAAAATCTCCATACTTCTTTCCAGGTAAAGATATCCTATCTTTGTTTTTTTCGCTGAATTCAGATTCAAACATGGCCTTAAACACGGATGAGTGATCTGCCAATGCCTGTTTATTGAGGTGTATATCCATTCCTTCTACCTCCAGGATGACGTCAGTGGGAGGGAAGGCTGTTTTAGGTTCATCTTTTTGGGTTTCGTCTTCCCCAGAACACGATTCCTTCGGTTCGGAATTGGACTTCTCCAGGCAGAGTTTAGGTACCTTACAAGCAGTGGCCATGTTTGTCTTCTATCTTGAAGTAAACTGTAAAATGGTATGCTGAGGTGAAAATTTTTTCAAACATTGAAACTTGTTGAAAATGGCAATAAAATAAAAATTTACTGTACAGCCTGAAAATTAGCTAACCTTATACCACTTTAAATTCTGTAGAGCAGTATGAAGAAAGCTAAATGAGGTAATTTAAAAAAAACTAATTTTTTTGTTTCTTTTGAACATGATTTTTAAAAATTATACATGTATATTTTAAAATACTTTTGAAGCTTGGCCCAAAATATTGTTTCAAGGAGATTTGCTTTCTTGGTTGAGGAAGAACAGTATAATTTCACATTTTAAATATTACAAATAAGAATTTGTTGGACTTGTAGTGCCAGGAAAATGATGAAATTTTAAAGGAACCTGGACACACCAGCATTGTGTACAGTTTAAATGTCTATTTTATTATTTTTTTTAAATAGCTTTAGTTTAATAAATTAAACTCACTGGAATATTCTTACACATCCAGTCTGAATCACCATAATAATCTCAATAACATCAGGTTCAAGTTAAACTACTGTGTGTGTAAACAGGGCATTCATGAGCATAATATATGTGTCATGTTAACAGGTCTGGTACAATCACTAGATTTAGCTACGTTAAGCTTGATTTACTTACTTAGCTTTATTTACCTACCTGAGGTAGCTTTATTTAGCAACCAAATCAATTAATTTCTATAAAAAATCATTTTTCTCAGGGTGTGCAGAAAATATAATTTTGATGCAGTGATCATTTTCAACTTTGAACTCATCCGAAAACAATTCATGAAAAATTCCCTCTTGAAGAAATGTCTTTTTCTGCGCAATGGCAATCAAAGTTCTGAAAGTTTTGGGGCTATGTATGACAGTTAATACTCCTTGAATGAAATGACAAAGAAGTCCAGTTCCGGTTAACACATTAATAGGTCGGTAATTATTCAGCACAATGTGAAGTAATCATACTCAGCCATGCCTCACAGCACGTATTAGAGAGGACAGTTAACTTAACCAAACAATGGAATTACATGTTTTGCTTTAAATTGTCCAAACGCAGCAATATTTAACCTATTTCTGCTTTGGATTGTTTTTTTAAAGTGATATATGGCGTACTTTTGATAAGTTCTGACTATCTAAAATTAAAAAGATCTTTCTATTTGTTTTGCTACTTTATATAAAGAGAAGACTTTCCTGTAAATTACACAATTTAAATCAATTGCGTTTCAAAGTTATCGCAGAATTTAAAACAATAACCGAATTATCTCCGACTCGGAAATAACATGCGATGTTTGTAAAATGCTTATGCCCCCTCCCCCCCAATTTGGTATTTTTCCAAGTCGAAAAGTGCATAACTCTGTCAAAAATGGCACGATTGTACCCAAAACAGAACTTGACCTAGATAGTCATCTGAGTGTATACTAAATTTCATCTCAGTATGGTGCAACAGTTGCAAAGAAAATGAATGGAAACTGCAAATAAACAGATCTTGACCTACATATTAATGTGATATATCTGTATACCAAATTTCATTTCAGTAATACTGAAATGAAATTTCAGTGTTTTCCCTAAGAACTGGCTACCGGCCAATTGACTTGACAAAAATGCTGCTTTGAAATAAAAATTTGTTGTTAGGTCCACAGAGTTTTTGTTCATAAACCTCAGCCCCTAGCCTGTTACAACTTATTTGTAACCCTTTACTTTGAAATAAAGGGAAAACACTAAGTATTTGCAACGGTTGCAAAGAAAATGAGCGGAAACTGCAAATAATGTAAGAGTGCAACGATAAACAGTTTGACGGTATACCGCAGTTTATTTCTCCACGGTTCGGTTCAACTTCATGATATGTGAAACTGATATCACTGTTCGGTTCAATCTGTCCGTAATTATCAGAATCATCTGTTTGGTTCCTTGTTTACAATTTAAAAATGGCTTCCGCACGAAACATGAGGTCAATGAAACTGCAGAACAGCAGTTAAACTTGTTTCCAGTCTCATATTTAACAGGTCGAAGGATGTTATCACTTTCCTAGTGTTAGTGAAATGAACATTTGATAAAACTTTTTAATTTTAAGTATATAATGACAAACTTCCAACTTTTTAACCAACTATGTCTTGTATCGTGATACGTATCGTATCGTGAACTGAATACCGTGATACGTATCGTATCGTGGGGTAGGCGTATCGTTGCACCCCTAAAATAATGTGAAATTTTTCTAAGTCCAAGGGGCATAGCTCTGTCAAAAATGGTGCGCTCGTACCCAACACAGAACTTGACCTAGATATTCATGTGATATATCTGTATACCAAATTTCATTTCAGTATGTACTACAGTTGCAAAGAAAATGAACGGAAACTGCAAATAATTGAATTTTTTCTAGGTCCAAGGGACATAACTCTGTCAAAAATGGTGCAACGTACCCAACACAGAACTTGACCTAGATATTCATGTGATATATCTGTATACCAATTTCATTTTATAAACCTCCCTAGTATAAATAACAATAGTCATTTAATTGCGATTTTTTTGTCTCTTTTACATAAAAAGAAAAATTTTGAAAAGTTACATTGAAATAGCTAAATAAAGCTATCTGACGTAGGTAAATAAAGCTCCGTAAGTAATTCTACCTACGTAGCTAAATCTAGTGATTGTACTGGACCTGGTTAAAACTTAAATGTCTACCAGTGTTTTAAAAAATTTTGACAAGTCTGCATCAACTGACAATTTACAGATTCAGTTGAACAAAAATATAATAAGAATGCTTGCAATGGCTGAACAGGTGTGAATTTTTCCTTGAAAGAATGTAATTCAACAAGAGGCCCAGGGGCCACAGCCCTCACCTGAGCACATTGGCTAGGAAAAAACGCGTATCAGATCAGAACTGAAAGTTTATTTGGGGGGGGGGGAGGGGGGGGTAAATTTTAACCCCCCTAGGGGTTCATGATTTGAACAAACTAGAATCTACACTACCTGAAGCTGATTCCATATTAATATCACTAATCATAGCTTTGAAGTACTTGAAAAAATGATTTTAAAAGGTTTCCCTATAAATCCCTATGTAAAACTTGGGTCGGCCATTTTGGCCCCACCCTAGGCCCGGGGGTCATGATTTGAACAAACTTGAATCTACACTACCTGAGGATGATTCCACATGAGTTTCATCTTTCCTGGCCCAGTGGTTCTTGAGAAGAAGATTTTTAAAGATTTTTCCTATATATTCCTATATAAAACTTGGGTCGGCCATTTTGGCCCCACCCTAGGCCCGGGGGTCATGATTTGTACAAACTTGAATCTACACTACCTGAGGATGATTCCACATGAGTTTCATCTTTCCTGGCCCAGTGGTTCTTGAGAAGAAGATTTTAAAAGATTTTTCCTATACATTCCTATATAAAACTTGGGTCGGCCATTTTGGCCCCACCCTAGGCCCGGGGGTCATGATTTGTACAAACTTGAATCTACACTACCTGAGGATGATTCCACATGAGTTTCGTCTTTCCTGGCCCAGTGGTTCTGGAGAAAAAGATTTTAAAAGATTTTTCCTATATATTCCTATGTAAAACTTGGGTCGGCCATTTTGGCCCCACCCTAGGCCCGGGGGTCATGATTTGAACAAACTTGAATCTACACTACCTGAGGATGATTCCACATGAGTTTCATCTTTCCTGGCCCAGTGGTTCTTGAGAAGATTTTTTTAAAAATGCCATTAATTTTTCTCTAATTCATAATTATCTCCCCTTGGAAAAGGGCGTGGCCCTTCATTTGAACAAACTTGAATCCCCTTTACCCAAGGGTGCTTTGTGGCAAGTTTGGTTGAAATTGGCCCAGCGGTTCTTGAGAAGAAGTCGAAAATGTGAAAAGTTTACGGACAGACAGACGGACGGACAGACAGACGGACGCCGGACAAAATGTGATCAGAAAAGCTCACTTGAGCCTTCGGCTCAGGTGAGCTAAAAATGGAAAATCTCAAGAGTTTGGCTTAGTGCCCCCCCCCCCCCCCCCCCCATGTTCCACCCCAAAGTTTCTTAGTTTCTCAGAGACTTTGACTTTTTTAATTAAACAAAATATATATTTCTTCTATTACATATTCACCAAGTGTGATATTACAACTGAAAATTCCCAAATTTAAGCTAAAAATAGCCTTTTGGCTTGCATAACCGTAACGTTACTCCTCTCGGACACTTACCAGGTTACAGTGCTTTACCACTGTTTATATGCAAGTATTTCCGGAACGCTCGGCGCATTGTTTTGCAGATGAGTTGCAATCATAAGCAAATTTTTGGATACAAATGATACGATCCCTTACCTGTAACCGTTAATACTTTTCTGTGAAGTTTTCAGACGATAGATTCTGCTTCTTTTCTATATATTCGATCAATGCATACTATCTTTGCAAGATATATAACTGTATTCAGCGGCAGCTCACACATATTGGTCCGACCAAAATAATTCCATCATGATAAGTAGATACAACATTATTGTTCATGATAAGAGTAAAGTTGTGTATGTCATACGTTAAAGAAATCAAAAATAACGTCAAAATTTCATTAGAAAGTCACTTTCCCCCCGAAATGCAAATAAAAAATATCAATATTCCTACGCTCGCTCCCTCCTCAGCCTTTTTTTTTTTACGTGTTTGATAACAGAGAATAATTAGGTCATTCTTCGATTCATATCTTTTCACCAATGAATTGATAATACTATATCAACAATTGTATTAAGTACATGTTTATAGTCCGTTAATTATCATACAATTTGTTCTTAAAGAAAAAATTAATCATTCTGTGTGTGTGTGTATTATTAAATGACGGAATTTTCAATCCCTGGCCTGCTCGTGTGTACACTTTGTAAACTGTAGGGTAAGTGTGGCAAAACGAGAACTGCATGGGTTGGAGATTCGGGTTCGTGTTGAAGTTCAGCATACCATTATATATAGAACTTGAATAATGTAAGTAATTTCTGCGACAAATATATTAGTATATTTCAGTTATTTTCAAAACAAAAAAGGTTTTCCATGTTTTCAGTTTAGAATTTTCCGACCCGGTCCTGATTTTCCCAACCCGGCCATTTTAAACACAAGTTGTTGCAGATGCAAATGTTAGAACAAACTATACAAGAAACATATTGACGCAAGCGTCAAAAATCGGCCGTAAACCAATTTATATAATTGTTGAAGTTCCTTTCAGAAACTGGAATTTGCGTTATCTGTTTTTTTTTTTATTTCTTATATTTATCTGTTAAAATATCCTCGTGACATGAAAAAAAATGCATGCGACAATGCCGGTTTTCTTCATGTATTGTGCATGTACAATATTGAATGTATAAGAAATTAAACTATGCATAGTCCTCTGCGTCTCTGCACTCAGTTTGGTACAAATTAACGAACTCTGGTGGAAGTTTGCTGTTTAAGTAGTTTTTACATTAAAAAAGTACAAAACTAAAGTTTTAACTTAGCTATAGTTTTACCTTAAAAAAAACGCAACAAATATATAACATGTGGGGCTCCTCGCTCTCTCTTAGAGGATGTTTACCATCCCCACCCCCAACTCCTTCTAGATCCACCACTACATTTCTCTTTTTAATGTTGAGATGTGGCGGGAAAATGTTTGGCACATTGTAAAACGCGCTCTATATCTTAGTCTCCTGGACCAACATGTCATAAGATTCTGTGCTTTTAAGAAATCAATATTTCATCATATTTTTGAAAAATATCCATAGGTAATGTTTAAATATACACTTCATTTTAAATAAATACAGCAAATCCTGTTTTAAAAAGAGATAGTAAAATTGTTGATTTAAAACGCGGTCTTTGTTTTAGACTATGCCTAACACTCGTACTAATTTTCTCCGCACTTCAGTTATGTCAGAGTTTATCAATCAGGATTGTATAAAATTATAAAATTTAATCTTACGATTATTGTGCTTTTTCCTAAACATTTAGACAATCTTTGTTTAATATTGATTCACCGGCGATATGAATGTTAAATATTTTTATTAGATTGTTATCTCCGCAGAAACGCACAGCTACTTCAAACTTTCATATCAAATAACCGACCGCCTCCTGGCGGCCGGTAATAAAGTTCAACAGGGATTGTATAATTTTTATTAATCAGAATTCGTATTTATATGATCTAATTAAGAAAAGAAAAGTTTTGTCTGACACCGTAACTTCTCGGCAAAACAAAACGTGTTTCTCCGAGCTCGCTGGATGCGTGTGACAGCTCCATTGCACGTGTGTAGACCAAGGCTACAGGTACATGTAGGCCTATGTGTACTGTTTGTTAGGAGACTGGGTGACCGTAATGCTATGGAATCACGATATTTACAACAGTTCCATAATTAGACAGTGCAGTTTTTTTTTTATTAACGTCATTATAAACACTGTTAAACATATTAAATCTAACAGTCGAATATCTTTGGATATGGGGTAACCCATATCTATTCTTGTTACACTAGAGGCTGGAGCTGCAATTTGATACCCATTTCCGGCCTAATCTTGTTGGACATGTCGAGCCATATTTATTCGGGATTGGCATAGTTGAAAGAAAATTAAGTGGGAGTCGAGTCAATTTCTAAAATAAATATTCTTGAAAATAAATAATTTGTTCTATGCTTTGTCTGTTTTTATTCAACATTAATTATTAAGTTTGTTTGTTTAACTTAATTCTTATGAAGAAAAAATAAGATTCATCCTTTGATTTTGAATATATTTATTAGCTGTCTTGCAAGCATCCATACAAATACAGATCTCTATATAGAAACAGTTTTAATCCGTGAAGGTGCTTTATTTACTCTATCTAAAACGGAAAACGGAACGGAAAGCGGAACGGAACGGAAAACGGAAAAGGAAGTTTGATTCGATATGAATAAATAGACATAAAAAAGCAATATTCCTGATATGTTAAAGTCATATTTAATGAAAAATTAAAGTAAAATATGATATATATTCGTTAATCATGCACCCCTCATAACATGTACAATCGATGGTCAATGAAATAATCCTGTGTTATGTATGTACTCAGGCACGTAGCATCGTTTTTGAAAGTGGGGGGGCCAACCTGAGAAAAAAAAAATTATTTATCTGAAAAAGTTGACAAGCAAAAAAAAAAAAAAACGAAAATTAAAAGTTGCCCAAACTCGAAAATCCTATTTAGTAGAGGGGGGGGGGGTGTCAACTTTTTCAAAGCCAACTTACTATCACTTTCAATTTTTTCCTTACAATCCTTGCTATCACTATACTATGGTTATAAAGTGGGGGGGGGGGGGGACAACCATCCTATCAATGTACATTTACTATAGTAAAGGTTTTGTTGGGGAAAAAAGTGGGGGGGGGGGGGGCAGGCCCCCCCGGATGCTACGTCCCTGGTACTGACTATTATCCATCTGTCAAACGTTTCGTTCAAATCATTTTTTAAGAATGTTCATTTATAAACAAAAAGAATCTGAATTGTTGTGAAATAGGCGGAAGGAAAAAAAACTACTAGTACGTATACATACGTGTATCGGTAAAGACAAAAACTTAAAGAACTAGTTTTGACATATGCATTATGAATGCATTTGCGAATCCGGGAATCTTGAAAAGGGAGGGGACAGTTTGGGGTCAGCGTAGGTGCCCTCAGTCACACAGATATACATGTATTGGTCACAAAAAGGACGGGGGTGGTCTTGCTCCCCTCTAAATCCATGAATGGCATATATGCATATTGAGAAATTCAAATATGAATAGCTGCACCATAAGAAAACATTTCTTGCAAAGGAATTTAATAGCATGTTTAATTTTTTCTTAAAGTAGTATCAACTTATCAGACCTGAGCGGAAAAACAAACTCTAAATGTTTTACGTAGTCATTCAGCACCCCCCCCCCCCAAAAAAAAGTCTTACTTTAATTTCATTCAACGTAAGGACGATATTATGGAAGCCCGTTGGTGCCACGTATGAAAAATATTTTATCTGGCGGCCGCCACTTATTACATGTATTTGGCGGCCGCCAAATATATAAGTGGCGGCCATCACATAATTATCTGGCGGCCGCCAGATAAAATATTTTTCGTACGTGGCACCAACGGGCTTCCGTAGTAATCTTATCATAGAAGATTTTTGCTTACATTTTATTTTTCTCACCAATTACCATGATTCATTAAGATAGCAAATATTGCCCCCCCCCCCCCCCCCCCCATGTTTTTCAGACATAACCTTTATAGAAATGATCATTGAAACCTCCAACACTTTCCGTCTGTAAATAAACTTAGAATGATTAAATAGAATTGTATTCATTAAGGAGGGATTAAATATGTATAAAATATATCGTTTCTGAGAAATTTATATATTTTAAATGATTTAATCTAAAATAATATTTTCCGTTTTCCGTTCCGCTTTCCGTTCCGTTTTCCGTTCCGCGTTTTAGCAACACCCGTTCCTAGTTATGGCAAAACAAAACCACCATATTTACTGATCTTGATTGTTTTTGTTTTGGGAAGTCGATGAGAGTAGAAATCTAGGTATCGGAATCTCTGTAGGAATTACCTTATTTTAGGCATAAATATCGCTGTTTCGAGTTTACGAAAAGAGTGTTATTTATCGATGTTTAGCGATTCCATACAGCACATTCATTTAGTAACTCCGACATTTGCTTAATTATAATCTGTAAGTTAAATGTAAAACAAAGCATGTATTTTGCCTGCAGTCGGCCGTATCCTGTGGAATTGTAGTCCTCTCCAGAAAATATCAGACTAACAAAAATCGGAGAGGGCTACAATATTGCAGAAAGGGAAGAACTGGAGAGACATGCTCAAGATAGAGAGAAGTGGAGAAGTAAGTCTTGATAGTTCTTGCCCTATGTGGCCACGGGGACAACAAGGATTAGGTAGGTAGGTGAGTAAAAACTTTGGTTCTCAAAGAAGTTGGAACCCACCACCACACCCCCCCCCCCCAAAAAATAGGATTTTCGAGTTTGGAAAATTGTTGGACGTTGGTTTTCTTTCTTTCTTTCCTTCCCTTTTTATTTTTTTTTCAGGTAAGCCGATTTTTCCTAAGGCTGCCCGGCCTGCCCTCTTTCAAATAAGCTCAATGTAGCTTTACATAAGAGATGAACATTGCTAGAATGTATTGGGTTAAGGTTTCATCAAAGATCAACATGGCCAACAATTTATTTTTACAATAGCTCCAATATCATGTGAGGTATAAAGTTAAAACTTTTACAGTTTATAAATATATCCATGTTTAACAGATAGAAAGTACTATTTGAAAACAAATATTTAAAAATATATATTTATCGAGAAAATATATATCAAAAAAATGCACCTGCTTAATTCTAATAGTGAAAACCATCATTGCAGAAATATGTTTATCAATGCAGAGCAAAC